GGTAGAGGTTTATTATGGAGCCAGGTTAGATATAAGCTGCTATATTGTAACTTCTCTGCCAAAACCCCACCTCCACTCACTGGCGGATTCACTTGCCATTAAGCAATTTGAAGTTACTGTGACATAAGTAACAGCCTACACAGTAACGTAAATGACTGCCTTTAGGTTCACTTTTCTCCCACTGTCAGGAGGAAGGCTATTTAAAAAAAAAACAACAATTCTTAAATTCCAACTATTTGGCAGCAGCCAGTAGCAGCTTCCCAAATTATATAGGAAAAAAACATTCTTACTTTAATATGTCTTCAACTGGACCTTTAAAGAATAGCAGGAATAATTCTAGATGAACAGAAAAGTGTAACAGAAATGATTTTCACTTAATAATGTTCATAGTTCAAGAGATGCATTACATAGACCATTCAGAAAATAAAATCAAACGTAAATGTTAGTCAGTTTAAAGCTGTGTCATGCTGTAATTCTCATTCCAGAAAGATCAGTACAGTGCTTGGGGGTACACAGTCTCCTCTAAATGAATAGCCAGTCACTCCCAGCTCCTTTAGGATAGTCCATGACTCTTAGATCCAAGCAGAGTATTTGACTTTTCAAATCAGTGACAAATTACGTTTTTCTGATTTTGTTTCTATTTTCAGCCTGGTATTGGATACAAGTCAAGATAAAACTGGAGCAAATGTGAAAATTGCTGCAAGGAACTGGAATTCAGTAAGATACTAAATGCCATTTCTAAAGAATCGAGCTATGTCAACTGGTGCCAGGATACCATTCCCATATAACAGAGTTCTTAAGGGCAGAAAAAAAATCATTTTGATAATGAATAACATATAGTATCATCTTTTTCAGTTATAATTAATCAAAATTTGTGTCATTGTGGGTGTAAAATTCATCCTTTAAAATGAAACACAGTAACAAAGATGGAATCAAAAGTAAAATGTATCATTACATTTGCTGGTGATATACATATAATTACTGAGTTATTTCTTAAAAACAAGGTCTTAAATCAATGTTCCTATTAGGATCCCAACATTTTATTATTTATCTCCAATAAACTGAACCAGCCCAGTAACAAGGGCAACTGTGTTTGGACAGCAGCTGGATCTACCTCCAGATTTTCCTGATCCGAGTGCATAACCAAAGACCCTTTGACAGTGGTTCAGATGCAGGAGGACAGAGGACACCTGTGCTCAGTCAGAAACATGATTTAGGAAGACCTTAGAATGAATAGGAGCTGCCTTCACAATTATGAGCTCAGCTTTGTGGGGACATCACAGGAAGGAAAGGCTGTGAGAGGGCAAAGCCAGACATGGGGCAATATGCATGGAGTATTGTTGGCCACGATCTCTTGAGCTGAAGGAGTCACAGGAGCTGTGTGCAACACCTGGGGTTTATTGCAATGAGCAGCCAAGTTTGGTCCCACAAAACATCATCTTCACACTCCACTGCCTCCCACCGGTCTGCAGTGCCTGGCTGTGCCCAGCTGCTGGCACAGCCTTGACCCTCCTGTTGTCAGTGCACCTGATTACTCAGCAAACTTGGTACTTGGTGAGGCAGCAGGGCAGAAACTTGATGTGATGTCCAATATATGCACTGTCAGTTTGCTGATTGCAGCTGTGACAAAAAGCTGCCTCTCCTTGAGTTGCTGCTGCTCGGCCTCCCTGCCCTGTGCACCCGGTTTCCTGGACCTTCCCCAGCACAGCCAATGGCAGGGTATGAACGCAGGTCTCATCACTACACACTTTTCCTCAAAATACGCAGCTGTTTTGGTGGGAGGTGAGCCCTATCATCCTCCTAGTTCTGGCTGTCAAAAAAAGAGAGTGCTTGTGGTAAGCAAGTTCCAGATGAACAGTATCAATCCTTCACCCATCCAGGTATGTTGGGAAACATTTACAAACCCACAGGAAAATAAAATAAACCTGTGCTAATTGCGGATCAGGTCCCTATATCCTTTAGTATAACAACTGCAGGGGAAAAAAAAAATCTCCAAAAATCAATTTAAGAGGAAAGTTGCAAAATCTTGTGTGCTAGAAAGTGCTGGAAGTTGTTCTCTGGGAGCAAGCAGAAGGGGTTGGATTCACCCCTTGCTGCAACACAGCAAGGTTCACTTTTTTCCCACGATTCCACAAAAAGTGATATTTGTGCAAAGTCACACTCAGCTAAAATTGAGACCAAGATTTCAAGTGATAAAAAATGCAATAACTTATTTTCATTGTATTTTACTGTATTTACAAATACTTCATTACTGCATTTCATTCTACATAATCTTTTACAGTTCAGCTGTACTAACTCATGAATGCATTGCACAGAAGATATTAATATTTTCATACACAGTTTTGTGCTACCACTCATAAGATGCAGCCTGCTTGCACAGCCTTCTTGCTGTTCTGCCCCACAGACACTCCTCTTGAGTGCCCAGCCCTCTTTTGCCTCTTGCATGTTTTCTCTTGCTCTGTTCAAGGCTCTCCACATGCCCAGAGCAGGTCCTCATATTTCCTGCTACTGCCACATTGAAACAACATTGAGACCTCTCTGCATGGCACAGTAGTATTAAACACACACAGAGAATTTTTCCTCAGGAAAAGCACAAACAAATATTTTACTGAGGATTTCGCCCCTTGTCATTGCTGAAGGAAAGCACAAAACTAAGGTTAAGTACAAACATCAGGAACCTGTAGCATCCTTCAGCTGTTGGGATGGGGACAAATTACCGCTGCATTCATGTTTAAAAAGAAAACATTAAACCTTGCAAGCTAGATATATAGTATATACATTTGTATGTGCATAAATATGTTTTTATGCTTAACAGAGACCCATATCTATAGTATTATGGAATGAAGGTTTACCTACACTGATAAAAAAGAATTAAGGCTTTTTGTTTAGAAAGAACATCTGTCAATGCACCTTTCAAACTTGCCTTCTAATTTTACAAACAACAGAAATTAGTCCCATTTGACATCAATTTCATAGGTAAAGTTTGTTTTTTATTTCTAATTAAAGTCATTCCTGATTTATACCAGCAGATGTGCAAAAATAATCACATCCAAAGTGTTAGACATATGGCAACTTGACTTGTTGCATGAAGGCATATATTCAGTATCCCAGAACTCGGTAAGAATGCACCAAATAACAATGCATCTGAACAGCAGTTTCTCTGAGTGAAAAATGAAAAGGCGGGGAACCTGGTTCTTGACTTATAACAGGACTATAACAACATGACCTTTTAGACTTAATAACATTAATTTGTGCCAAAATGTGTAAGATGGGAGGGAAACAGTAGTTACAATGCCAAGATAAAAAAGGAAATTTTAAGCAATGTGTATCACATTAAAATTTTAAAATAACATAGTTTTTTGGCAATAAGGGTTGCTATAATTGCATCCCAAAGAAACCTTGGAAGCTGTTGTTTGGGACATCAAAACCAGGTTGGATGAAATTTTTTGCATTCTTAAACAAAATTACTCTGGGTGCAGGAAGAAAAGAGGACTATTAGATCTATCAGTTTTCCTCATCCCTTAATTCAAAGAATGTGTTTATTCTGAAAACATATTTGACAATTCACCAAAGCTGTAAAACTGTAATTGTCTTTTATAGCAAGCTGGAGAAATACAAATACTAAGGTTATCTAAAAATATGCACTGAGCTACTTCAGAATATTTCAAATATTTTGGGTAACACATGCTCTAATTATACCATTGTATCATTATCAAATTAAATAGCTTTTTTCTTGTACTAAAACAAGACAGGTCACCTTAGATATCATCTATTAATACCAGCATTACAAGACCAGATTCCCAGTGGAGAGGGGAAAAAATCAATGGGAAAGAAAATTCTTAACTTAAACTGGATGACTATTTGGTATGTGATGCACTGACTTCGCCCATTAAACAGGTTGTCTACTCCTATCCAGCCAGTTAAATAAACACCAAACAGAAAAGGGTATATTAAAATTAACACAAACTGATAGTTGATGGTGGTGAGACTCGTAAGTAGTTTCCAAAGCTAGCTAACAATAATGCAAAAAGATGATCCAATGCCACAATATCAGATAGAGTTGTCCTGCAGATTAAGACTACTTGTTGCAAATAAGATTTTATGCCTTAATACATTAAACTGTTCCAGAGACCTAATAAGCATTCAGTTGCAGCTAAAACTTTATGAGGAAATATTAGTGATGATCACAGAGGTATGTACAGGAGTGTAACGCAATTGTAACAGAAAGGCTGTAGAAGAATCTTCTATTTTACACTAATCTATCAGAACTCCCGAGACACGGATTTCAGTCATACAAACGGATACTACCATATGTTACAGGATCAACCCGAAATCACTCCTTATTTTAGCACACTGACAATGGTTCACAGACTCTCAACTACAGGTGTAGTTATCCAGAGTATTATCCAGATAATCGTCAAGTCATGCATTTAAAAGTCCACTTTAAAGAAACTGATCCATCAGGAATGTCTGCGCATCCAGGAGGCACAGGGAAATCTGTTGCTGAAATATTTCTGAACACATAGACAGAACTTTGCTTTACCCTATTTAGCACGGAGAAGCCCTACAAACGTAGTAAGTTCACATCTCCTCGATGCTGAAGAAAGAATGTGCATGCCATGCATCACAGAGATGTAACTTTTTATATTTAAAAAAAAAAATGTTGCTAGGGCCTGTGATAAGCACTTTACCATATTGATTTCATTTAGAAAGGAACTCGGCAGAGATGATAAACCCAACCAAGGCGGCAGCTGCGCCTAAGCGTGACTCCCGACCCGATTTCCAGCACCGGGCTGCTGTACTCCCGCAGGTTTTGCGGGGCTGGCAACCGGCAGCCGAAGCGAGCACGGAGAGGCAGCGGGCTCCAGCGGCCCGGTGGGATCGTCTGGGAGGGGGGTGCGGGCACCGCCGCCCCCTTCCCGACAAGGACCCGACCCAGCGGGGCGGCCGTGGGGCTCTGCGGGTCGCGGACGGGCCGGGTCCGGGCGCGGGGCACTCACCGCGGGGGCCGTCAGGCGGCGGATGCTCTCGCCCAGCGAGTCCAGGTTGACTCGCCGGCGGCGCGGAGCGCGGCGCGCCCCGGCGGTGGCCGCGGCGGCGGCGGCGGCGGCGAAGGGGGTGTCGGCGGGGCCGGGGGGGCTGCGGCTGCCGTTCCAGCAGAGGCGGGACAGGGGACACTCGCCCTCCTCCTCGGGGCTCGTCTCCGGGCAGTCCGAGCCCAGCGAGCTGAAGGACTCCGACGAGATCTTGCGGCGGGACATGGTGCCGCGGGGCGGCGGCGGCGGAGCTCAGCGCGGGGCGGCGGGCAGCCGCGCAGGGCAGCGCCGAGCTGGGCAGCCGCGGGGGCGGCCGCCTCGCATGGCCGCGGGTGCCCCTGGGCGGGCGAGAGGCAGCGGCGGAGCCGCCGTGCCGGGGCCGGAGCAGAGCCCGCTCCGCGTTTCGCCGCGCCGGGCCGGGCCGGGAGCGCGGGTGCCGCGCCGCGCCGCGCCGGGAGGCTTTAAAGCGGCGGCGGCGGCGGCAGCGCCTGCTGCCCTCCTCTGCCTCGGCCGCCCGCCCCGCTCTCCCCTCCCCCGGCTCCCTCGCTGCTCCGCGGGGATCACGTGTTGTTTGGAGCCCTTTCCCCCTCCTCCTCCTCCTGCCGCCTCCCCCGCGCCGCTCGCCGCCTGTCGCGCCCGGCCCCGCTTGCCGCGGCCGCCGCCGGCCCCGCTGCCCCGCTCCGGGGGGATGCCGGCACCGCCCGCACCGCCCCGGCAGCTCCCGAGGGCCGGGCCGGCCGCAGCCCACGCTCCCACCGCCACCAGCTGATAGGAGGGCGGGCAGGGCGATCCGCTCTCCGCCCTGCGCTGTGGAGCTGGGCGAAGGGGAAGGGGGAAGCGGGTCGGTGTCCCCGCGGGGAGCGGTGGTGCCCGTGTAAGCGGCTGGGGACGGTCCGGGCGTCCACCCGTTGCGGCCGCCGCCGCCCGTCCCGCCGCGGTGCTGGACAGCTCCCTGGCAGCTCCGGCGGCCGGGGAAGCCGGTCCGCGCTCCCTGCCTGCCGCTCACCGCCAGCGAACTTTTGGAATGGCATTTGTGGAGCTGAAGCTCAGGAAATAAATCGTTTCGAAAACTGGGAAGGCAGGATGCCGGCCACCAGCTTTCAGAGTCAAAAGTTCTTCTCACCTTTGTGCAAGCACTTCTCCTGCTAACACTGGGGGTCATGTCCAAAACAGAAAAGAAGAAACTAAATTAATTCGTCTGCTACAGTCTTGGCAAGAAGAGAAAGGACTGGTTTAGAGGACCCAAAGCAGAGGAGCTTGGATCCAGGATGACAAGCAAGGTGTCTCCTTCCCAGCTTTCCCTACCCGTGCTGTCAATCTAAAGACACTTGTTTCATGACACAGGAGAGTTTCATGGCAATAGTGATAACCCCATGTAGTTCTTCTCAGTAAAAATGCTCCAAGAAAATGTGATCTCAGCTGTAGTGGTTCGTCCTACCATCAAGGAAGACAACTTGTCATTACTTTGCCTTTGTTCAAATAAAACTTATTTTAAAAGGCAATGATTTTAAGATAGTTTTTACTCTGCCTTTTCCCAGTATTATGACATGTTTTACAACCTTATCCTTTTAAATGTCTGAGTGCAGCCTAAACAAGAAGTCACTAAAGAGACTAGGAAGATTTCCACTGGCATGAAGGAGCTTTTGAGCATGACCCTAGGCAGGCTAAGCCAGTGTCTGCTCTCAGAAGGGGCACAAGTCCATGGCTGAGCATGCTGCTTTTAACTAGGGCACAACAACCCTTGCCAGGACATTGCATTCAGGGCTGTCATCCCTGTTTCTTATGACTCACCTAGTGCCTATTCTTTTTTTTTTTTTTTTTCCTATAGAAATATAGAGAGAGTAAGAGAAGCAATGAATCTTTTCTCTTGCTGTAATTTTTTAATTCCTAGCGCTTGAAGCCTGAGGCTTGAAAGGATGTATAGTAAAGCCAGAGTGGTCCATACCACCTTCTATTACCTTGTGAAACAGTACGCTTCAGATGCATAGACTTTCTTTTTGCAGTACTGGTGATACCCTCAGCAGCCCTAGGACACAAATCGGACATGTAAAGTTAATTCACACGTGAAACATCAGATCTGTTGTCCTCCTCTGTCTTTCCTCCTCTAGTGATTAACAATACTCATCGGTGTCTGAGTGTAGGGAGATGACAGTTATTTCTTCCTTCTTCTCTCTAAAGAAATCCTCATTTTCACAGGTTCTTTGAAACCTGCTGCACAAGTCCCTGCTGGCCCTCAGTCCAAGCTACTGCCATTGAGGGCACTCAGGAATTAAGGGGTCTGGAAGGTGCCCTTTGGTGCTAAACATCATCCCTAGCACAGGGTACTCTGTGTTAAGATGTTAACTTTCTTCACATGTGCTTCCATTTCCATTAAATTTACTTCCTTCTCATAGACCATTCTGTACAGTCCTCAGTGAAGCAAACTTCCACTGGTTTCTTGGCTGATGCAGTGACAGTGACAACTGGGTAAGAGACACATAGTTTAGCGTGGAAAATATAAATACATATTTATAAGTCTAAACTGCTAAAATACCAAAGTGTCAACTGGTTCCATGTGCAGCATTTCAGCTGTAGGGTAAGCAACTTCCTTGGAGGCAAATTTGCATTTTATTCAGCACTAGGGAAAAAGGGTTTCAATATGACAAAGCTGTCACTTTTTAAGACTTCAGTTTCCTCTTTTTCTTGAAGTTTATAGTAGCACTCCCCAATGCAACTTATTGCTAGCATTTGACAGTGCTCTTGAGTTACCCTTGCAGCATTAAAGGTTACTTTCTTCATTCCCCTCATGACCATGTTCCTTTTGTGCCTGTTGTAACCATGAAATGGGAAGGGAAATTCTTAGCTAAAGTGACTACTCCTGAGGTCAGGATTATTATAACTAAATGTGCTTGTATACCAAATGGACTCTTTTCAAAAATGTAAAAGACATTTTCCTTTAATATCTAGATGGTGAAATTCACAGCCTAGTAAAAATGCCATTAAATTCTTCAAAAAATCTTCGCTTCAGCTAAAGTAATACTTTGAGTAAACCCAGACTCAGTGTTATTCATTGGCTATTCTGATCAGCTACAAACTTTAAAACTTGTGGAAGTAAACCTCAAACCTGCCTGGTCCAGCTACAAAGATGTTGGTAGTCTGCATTTTGCAACTCTATTTGGGATTCATGATGTGAAACACATGAAATTGGATAGAGGCACCAGTTGGAAAACTACCAAACACCATCATAAGGTGTCTCAAGCTAAATAGAAATGGACAGCAGAAGATCCAAGATGATGCAGGTCCTAGAGGTGAGTCTGGTGAGCCAATAAGTCATTCAGAGCCTAGTTAATTATTCTCATTTTGTTCATCCTGATTCAGACACAACCTTGGCAAAAGCTAAATACCACGGAGGTTTTTTCATCTGACAGTCAAATGCCTTTGACAGCCCATAGACATAGACATCTACAGCACATAAGAGAACAAGTGTTCTTCTTTTATACATGTCTCATCAACCCAAATTTGCAGTTGACACATTACTGGATAAATAGCAGAAGTGTCTGTATAAAGTATAAGGTTCACCAAAACAGAGCCTTTGTAACATTTCTATCTCACTAGAACAGAATGCAATGTATGTGCCTCACATATATTGCAGACAGGTCAGAGAAAAATATGAATATTTTTAATGTAAAGTTGCCCTTCTCATTAGACAGCCAGCGCAATATGAGCCAGCAGTGTGCCCAGGTGGCCAAGAAGGCCAATGGCATCCTGGTTTGTGTCAACAATAGTGTGGCCAGCAGGACTAGGGCAGTGATTGTCTCCCGTCCTTGGCACTAGTGAGGCTGCACCTCAAATCCTGTGTCCAATTCTGAGTCACTCACTACAAGAAGGACAAGAGCATGTCCAGAGAAGGTCAATGGAGATGGAGAAGGGTTTGAAGCACAAGTCTTAAGAGGAGCAGCTGAGGGAACTGGAGTTGTTTAACCTGGAGAAAAGGTGGCTCAGAGGGAACCTTATCATTCCTTACAACTTCCTGAAAGGAGGTTGTAGCTAGGTGGGGGTCGATCTCTTCTCAACAGGCACCTGGTGACAGGATAAGAGGACATAGCCTCAAGTTGTGTCAGAGTAGGTTCAGGATGACATCAGGAAGAATTTTATCACAGAAAGTGTTGTTAAGCATTGAAACAGACTTCCCTGATGGTGTTCAAGAAGCTACTGGACATGGCACTTAATGCTATGGTGTAGTTGGCAAGGCTGTGATCAATCAAAGGTTGAACTTGATGATCTTGAAGGTCTTTTCCAACCTAAATGATTCTGTGACTCTGTGATTCTAAGAAAAATATTTTGAAAATCACAAATATTCTATTATTTTTTATCTTTTTTCAAATTTTTTATCTTGGAGCTAGTAAGCAAAACTCACAAAACTGAGTCCAGTTCTGACACAAAATGCATAGTCTTTAATTTCCATTAATTACAATGTGTTCATTTATCGATAATTGTTCAAGCATTTCTCATCAGACATTATATGCTGGATTTTGGTGTTATTATTTTTTTCACAAATGCTGTTTTCCTGAAGCTCACATAGCCTTAGAAGATTAAAATACCAAAACAACTTCATCATAGTGCATTGTGTTGTCCTATCTGCCTTTGTTGAGAAACTGTTGCTGGCAAAGATGCTGAAAGAAAGTATTTGAATTAATCCAATTTAGTTATTAGTTGCATGTATCACATACATCACATATATAATTCATATTTTTTCACCTATTACATTATATGGCTTTTTATAATGAACTTTTTATAGTACTGCTGAACCTATAAGTACTTAATTTTCCCTGAATAGAAAAGATTGTTGTCATGGGATCAATGTCTCCCACAGAGAAAGTAAACATCTGTTTTGCAAAGCATTTCTAAAGCAGCAGGAGACTGTTATCCTGTGACAACATTCTATTATAATTATTTTATTGCAGTCAGGCAAAATGAATGATGTGTAGCGAATTTATTCTTTTTTCACGTTCTGTCAAACCTTCCTGTTCTTTATCCAATGACTTCCATCTGGAGTAGTGCCTGGAAGGATGGCTGGGGCATTCTGCCATTCGTCATTAATGATCCATTGAATTACAACTGGCTCGAAGAACAAATCCATTCTCTGTTTCAACTACTCAGAAATAAAGTTAACGTACAAGGTACAGCAAACGCACATTGCTCAAAGTTGACCTTCTGGTCACCAGGTTAGGTTTGAGTCCATCATGTTATACGATGTGTTA